AAACAAATTTTTCGTGAGCTTTGAACATTGTTTCTAACCATTATCATTTACCAGTCGCCATTTTGTCATTAAAGGCAATCGATTTTATAATGAAGTGCAATAGTAATAAAGTAACAATGGATCAACTAGTGAAGTTTAATTCTTAAAAAATCCGCGTAAAAATTTTACGCATAAGCACTGCAGTAGCGTAGCCTATATCCAAGGTCTTCGGAATTTAGAGAAAAAACCTATATACAATTAAAATTGATATTGAGCAGGCCAATGGAATATGATTACAGCCTGTTGTGCTAATTAAATTTAACCCTTATTTTGTATTTTACTCTTGAATGGACGTAAGAACTAAGAAGATTGATAATCCTTTAAAAACAATGGTTTCAAAAAACTAATACAGCCTATCATGAATACATGAATATTAGCCCCACCCCTCCACTCCGCTCCAACTATCGATCTTCCTTCGCCCAACCATATAAATACAAAAATTGTAAACACCTACTTTGACATGGAAGGCCCAACCAACGCTATCAGCACACGTTGCAATGTTCAATTAACTTCATGTTTTATCCTTGTATTTTGTAACCCATAAACTTTGGATGCATGATATTCTGTCACATTTTTGTCACGCATTTTCAAAAAATACGGATAATTTGTTACAATTTGGCCATAATGCTGAGCTAATACAATAGTCAGCAGTATCTAACAATCCAACCTGTACCTCTAAGCTAGAATCTAGAGATGCCTAATGCACTTGTTTATTTTAAGATTCTTTGTAAACTTCAATGTGATTTTATTCAGCTTCACATTGATTTATGTTACGGAGTTTGTTTTAAGATTCAATTTTTTGTTGCTGAATGCATATACCATCCAAAGAAATGATAAACTTTTTTCTCAGGCATTTGTCACTTACAGGACCGGGGTGGGGGTGAGTGGTGTTACTGATTAACAACTTGCACTTTTACTGTTTATTGCACAAATGATATGTGTGTTGCCATGATTAGGGTGAACTATCAACCACAATGATTTAGAGCCCAATCTTCCAGATGTCAAGATGCGGCAAGGACGCCATCTTGAAAGGTGGCAAAAAGCAATACTCAAAATAAAAAATAAATTAAACAAAGTTTAGAAAACCATTCTATCAAACATTTTAAGAATCAAACATGGACTATGAACTTTGCGAATATATATCAACTCAGCAAAAGCAGATATTAGTCGTAAATGTCGTCAGTTTTGTCATCTTTTAAGATGGGGGCTTGCCTCACTCATTACTATACAATTTCGGCGGAGTCAAATACCCAGTAGATTGGGTTCTAGGTCATTGATCAACCAATATCAAACTTACTGGTTGACTGGTTAACATCAGTAACATAGCCAACTTGCACATTGACTCTTTACTCTGACTATTTAAATTCTAAGCATTATTAACTTGTTTTCAAAAAATGTTCATTTAACTTGCCCTTGGCTGGCTATGCTACAGCAGAGCATGAAACAAAACACTTTACCTACTTTATTTAAATTTATTACCTTTCATTTTTTCGGTCTTTTTTCATAGCACCCTAATCTTATTGTACTTGCGGTGAGAATTATAATTGCACGACATCAAATATTCATCAACAATGCTATTCGACCAATTTGCTATTACATCCAATACTCCAAGGCTTTGACTGGTAAAAAAATATTAGAGGTTTTAGTATATTGTTAATGATGTTTCATATAATTGTATGAATTGGGATGCTTTAGCAATAAGTGTAAGATATAGATAGATAACATGATGTAACATAGCTTCAATATTGAAAAAATCAAGTTCCAAGGTTCTGTGTTAACAAGAACAGTGTAAACAACGGTACATATTTTTATGAGTTAGGCAGTTTTAGAAAGAAAGTGTAAAATGGAGCTAGTTAATATGATGCAACATAACTTCAATGTCGAAAGAATTAAGTTCCTAAAGTTTTGTGTAACCCAGGTAATAGTAGTGATAGCTAACCATTAGTTTATCTTGATTCTTTGCACAAATCATGATTCTCAGTACAGCAAGCAACAATCATGGAGGCAAGCAATACAGTGTAGCTATATCAACAAAATTCGAATCCAACTTTTTTCGGTAACTGCCTGCAGTATACTTGAGTGAAGCTTATAGTTTTTACATGGTGGTAAAGAATAACCTATTAGGCTTCTGTTTATACACCTTAACTGACGATTCTATCAAAATTAACCACGTAATCTTCCGTTCAAACTTATAGCTTGAAATAAGATTTTTCCGCCAATAGGAATTTGAAGTGAGACGTCAAAACAAAAGATAATGCAATTTAGCATTAAAGAACTCGTTTTCGAATAAAATTTGCATAATTTTATTACGATTTCAGCTTGTTCCACTCTACTCAAATTTACACACGTTGTACCAGCGTACCAGATGATCCTGAGGGCCAAAGTTTGTCGTTCTGGAAATCTTTGTTTGAACTGATTGCGTGTTTTTTGTAAGCGACTGGTTTCAAAAAACGTTTTCACAAGAAATGTGCCTTCTGCCATGTTTAATTGAAACCATTGTGTTAGTAAAGCATACAATACAAGAAGAAGTTTAATTTGCATTAAGTCTGCAGTGATGATTAGCATTTAAAAGCCTTATGGGAGTAGATTTGAGAAAAAAATGGAATTCCCACTGTCGGAAAATTGTGATTTCTATGAGCTATATTTGTAAAGAAATACTTCTTCATTTCACAACTGAAAGATTCGTACAACATGTCTCTTGAAAGGTAAATAAATAGACTTAACAAAAGTGCAAAAAACAAACGACTTTTTCAAATATATTCCGTGTTGTTGAACCCCAAATTTGAATTGGAATTTTTTGATGCACCCTGTACTTAATGGTAAAATCTACAAAATATAAGTTCGCATTAATAAATTAATTATAAATTCAGCTGATTAATTTATCATTTATCAACCTCGTGGCTACTATTTTTTAGGACAACCTTCCCTTAGAGTTTGAAGAACCAGGGTTTAACTGAGTGGCTCCAATATAAGGGCCTTAGCACTTCAACTGTCAGGGGGAACTAAATTCTAAAAACCATCCCCCCAAAATTGAAAAATTCAGGCTTTAGTTCTCGCATTGAAGATGAAGATCTTATCGTAATTACTAGCATGAAATATTGAAAACTTATGTTGTCATACACGACACTTCGCGCAAAACACATTTTTTAAGAATTTCAATATTTAGAGTTACTGCTAACTGAATTTTGGATCAAGTCTAGAATTAACTAGCAAGGATTTTACACGTTTCTCTAAACTTATAGCAACAATTAGAGCAACATTTACGTTTCGGTAACTAACAATCGTAAATATAGCCAATACGGGGCTGTTTACATGATTCCGAATAAATGGGATTCAGTAAGGCGTAAAATCATTTCGACGCATTGAAAAGAGTTGAAACTTCAAGCGTAAAAATTACAACTGTTTGTTAAACGCTGCAAGTAATGCCTGTTGTAATTCTCAAATTAGGCCAAATTTTTTGTTCGATTTTGAATTTTTTGCGTGTAGCTATTGAATCAGAATATTGCGAAAGTGTTGAAAAACATTCATCTGATGATAAGTATTAAATCTATTCGCTTTTCTCTGATGATAAGTAACATTCATCTGATGATAAGTATTAAATCTTTTCGAAATCATTTAACGCTTGGCTGAATCCCGGCTACCCGGGCTCATGTAAACACCCCTTAAATTTTCTCGTATTGTAACTGAACACCTGTATATATATACAAACTATGTATATATATATGTACAATTAACTGGCAACTTGTAAATATGTCATTCTTTCTGATGATTGTTTTTAAATAAAACCGAAGTATTGCAGCGTAATTGTCTTGTTTTATAACTTAAATTTGAGATTACAAGTACTTTTACGGATTATGGTTATTTTTAACTTTTTGCTTGCAATTAATTTTATATGTCTCTTTCGACCATTTTATCATATATATACTTGTCCAAACTCTTAGGCTCCATATTTAAGTCACTTATGTCTTAAGAGTTGGAGCAGCTAGGACCATCATACTTTAGTGTTTGTAATCAATTAAAAAGGCCCAGGTTTTAGCCAGACTAACTTTTTCGTCCTCTCTTAGCTTATGGACAGACCTTTTGTGTTCACTATGCAATAAAAACACGATTCAATTAGCAAAATTTTCATTTTGTGGCAACTTATCAAAGTGCCATAATCACGTTTGCTGCTGTGGAGGTTTCAAATTGACGTACGTTTCTAAGGAGGAAACAAATGTTTCCGCTCGGTGTACTTTGCAAGATTTGCAGATATTCAATTAAGAAATAAAAGATGTTTATTGTGCTTATGAAAACCGAGGAGACCTTTGGGAGTACTCGAAAGCAGATCAGGGCAAAAACATCTTTATATTTCTTTTATAAAATAACAATATTGTGATAAAGATAAAATCAAAGCAGAGGTTTTAATATTTCCTCTATCTCATGTATTCATGATTGATTAGCAAATACTCTTTGATTGATTTAATTGACGAGGCTCAGCCATCAACCAATCAACGCAGGCGTTTTATTGTTTTTATTCTATATAATGCAAATTAAAGTTGTCAGTAATTGGTATTCGTGCAAGAGAAGAATACGAACTTCATTTATTTCTTCCACTATTAAATTAAAGTGAAATGAATAAGGAGTGTTTCGAGGAGAACACACTGAAAACTAAGATGGAAACCATTTTGACGTAATTTATTATTATAGAATATAAGATTGCTAGTTAAATTTTCAGGCTTGCATTAGCTGGTTCTTGTGGAAACGACCGCATGTAGTGCTCCTGTTATTACGAATAATTTATGTATGGAATAGTTTTATCGTGACTTGGCATTCTTCACTTGCAGACTATTTAAGTTTTATAAGATATGCTAATTCTTTATGTCAATGGAGACGAGAGGACATAATTTCCGAGAGTTTAGATCAAATGGGGAACTACAAATGTAAACAGCTGTAAATTTACCAAAATCCACTGTTTTTAATTAAAAATTTTTCTTGCATCGTAGCAACAGTTGCTAGTAGCATAACTAATTATTTGCCAACGAATAAGATTCGTTTAATTTCATCAATATTCCTTCTATCTTAGATAGCAACCTGCAGTGTTTGACTGCGACTCTACGTCTGCCATGATAAGGAGCTTCACAAATTCTAAATGCAATCGCATTGAAACAGATATCATCATTTTTCTCAAGACTTTTTACGGTATATTGACAAATTTCTGATTTGAACAAGCTCTTCACTTCTCTCGACACAGGTACGTCTGATTTACACGAATTTTGCCATATTTAAGTAGACACGTTTGTTCAAAGAAAAAATTTTTTTTAATTATTTGGTTTCTGATGTCTGGCGATATTGCCAAAGTGATTCTTGTTGCTCTTATTATAGCTACTACGTTCGTCTATTCTCACAGGATAGGATTCGTACCGTTTTAAATGTCACTATTTTCAGACATGGGATTTCTAAAGAAAAACTGCTGTGATGTGAGTCATAACAAGTCCCTGTTAGTGTTATATATTTTCTATTAACCGAAACTTGTACTTAACCCTCTAAGGGCCATATGTAGTGAAATGCATCATAATGTAACTACTCTATGCGGTCTGCGTTAAAGAACTCGAGATTGTGTAGCATCGTGTTGTGACTCCCTTGGGGCCAGATTTTTTTCTCAAATAAGTTTCGTTTCGTGATTATTGCTCGCGCAAGCAATGGCCACTAACAGGTTGAATTGTTCGCCATGGCGATTACTAAATGAAAAATGCAGACATGCGAACAAATAGAGAAAAGGGAAGCTGTAAAGCAGTACATTTGTTTTTGATGTAAAGGAAGTTTCTTGTTTGGTTCATTTTTAACCTTTTACTTTGTTCCCAATTCTGTTTGGTTCTTGCTTTGTTAATTTTATCCATTTACTTTTTTAAAAAGCGCAAGTAGCTACCATGGTGAATAGCTAAAATAATAACATGATAGCGAGTTCTTAAAAAAACTGTTTAAAACCAGGGCACTAACCCAACAATTCTAAGAACTGTTTTTAAAGAACTGTTTTAAAAGACACTATGCATTTCGACAGACTACTCATCAGTTGTCAATGTCTGCTAAATAAGAACTTCAAAATCATGCGATATTAATAATGTTAGAAAAAGTTAACGTCATTTCTAAATTGAGAGATGACGCTTAAAACAGAGATAAACTCACAAGTCTTGTCTGAACAATCAAGAATACTAATAAGGTGCGTTATGCTTCCACCAACGAGATTTTAGCATTTTTAACAAACGTGTATGTAGTGGAAAGGTAATTCAATATTTTTCATCATACCGAGTTCTATCCACAACATAAATCTGTATAATATAGATGGAATTGATCATTGAATTCTCAATCACGGCTGTAGATGTCAGCTGATTCCCATGCAAAAAATGGCGGTTCGGTCAATTCCTGCTACGATTTAGCGAGCAAAATTGGCCGCTTTTCAGAAAAAAGTACATTTTCTCATTCCCCCTAAAAAGAGTGAACAAGAAAAACGCATTTCGCATTTAGGCATAAGCAATATATATTTGATGTAGGAAAATTACCAAGGAAGATTTGTTAAAACACAGTCAACCAATAATCATGCTGTAATAAATCATGCTGTTGCATCGGTATGTCTGTGAAATATGTGCAATAATTCTTCACCAAGTGCGGACCTGATAAGGATATGTTCAGAAAAGAAAGCAAGGTTAACAAAAGTTGTGTAGTATATCACGCTTATATACTTTTCCAGTATTTAGTCGTTACAAGACGTAGAAACGTTTATTTTAGCAGATCTTACAACTAGGCTTTCGCGACATACCAAGTGTAAGGGCTCTTTTCCACTCATCACAAAATGCTCTCGCAAGGGCTCTTTTGCGAGTCTGTTCGCGCGATCAAAAAATTTTGTTCAATTAATTTAACTATGCTGCTGCAAGTCATGGTAAGTTCGCTGCGAGTGTCTGCAAGTTATCATCCCTAAAGTAGTCCAATACTTCTTAAGTGCTATAGTCTTGTACTGTACTATCAACTTTCTACTCAAATGTGTATCATAATTTGTTTCATTCTGCCTCCAATGATTCATAGACGTTTGTATGTGTGCATAGTTAGCGAAGAATTTCGGTAACAAACAGAAGAGATGAAAGAATCTCGGCTCACTCTACATTTTTCGATGAAACATTGCTACCAGTGAAAGGATACGTAAAATGGTCTTAAAGCTGAATGGGTGATCTTACTGTCGCTATATAAAAATACTGAATGTGGTAGGAACCCTTATTTGACCTGTGTAGTTTCTCTGATAAAATATTATTTTGTATCAGACCAAAAACATCGCTGAATTGCAAGTCGAATGCATAGCTACTTGTACAAGTTTATGACATCATGCCAGAAATAAGTAGTTCGTCAGTGTAGTCTTAGTAGCCCGCACACAAATCTTCGGAGTTTACATGTTAGGATATTTTGTATTTTCATTCAAATTATGTACATTTGATGCACAATTTACATTTTATGATAATATGAACAAACTTGCGTTCTTGTAGGAAGAATTTTAATTCTTTTTTCTTTCAAGCTAAATGTTAAATGACATCAAGTCTGTGTTCAAAGTTCTTGTTGTACATAATTACCCCAATTAAAATGTAGGCGTTGGGGAAAGAAAACTTCCTTCACCGCCATTTTAACGACACCAAGGAACGTAAGTTTCGAAAAGTAGTAGTAAGATGATTGCAATGGACTGTGGTAGTAGTTGCCTATTTCGTTTTTACAAATGTTGGCTTATGTCAAATTTTTACCGAGCAATAACATCATGTCATGCAATTAATGTGCCATGCTATTTTTGTACTTAGCGGATGTGCACTTGATTATGCAAAAATATTTGGCACTGTTATGCCTACGCAAGGTTGTCATTAATAAAAGGGGAAATCAACAGTTTAACTGCTCGTGTTGAAGGAAATTCCAAACATAAGTTGTGATAAGTTAACAGTTAATTCATTTTTATATATTACATGAGAAAAAATCATTACTCCGTGCCCGTATTCTATAACCTAAACATACACACACTGAGTGCAACATATAATTCGCGCTCTCTTTAATCAATGGCAAAGTTATTTCTCAATCAATGCCTTCAATGACAATATTTTTGCCAATATATTTCTAATCAAGCTTAGCAATAATTGAAGTGAAAATACTGTTTTCAAATAATTATGAAGTCATGATGTTGAAGCACCACCACGTAAGGACAGTAAGCGAGTTGTTAAAAGACGGGCGTGTGACTTAACTTGTTGGAATTTTGCCCATTTCTCTTAGCACTAAAGCCATTTCTCCTCTGCATTCGATTGCTTGTAAGGTGTTCAACAGCAGACATGATCTAACTTAAGCACATTTAGCTACCCCAGAATAGCAAAAATGTCCAACTCTTAATTACGTCTAGATACAACGGGCCTCTCGAAAGCACGGGCCCGTAGGCTTAAGCCTACTTAGCCTAATGGATAATCCGCCCTTGACCCCCACCCGTCTTCGCCTAAGAAACGTCATTAATAACAGAATGTAACGCATAAATAGGTATGCATCTTGTGTAAAACAAAAGCTTTAAAAAATTTCAGCCTTAAAATGATACAATTCTAAGACAACCGTGTTACTCAAAGTCAAACAATACATATGTGCAATTTTTTCATCGTGAATGATCATCAATCAAGAGACTATCTCTTTGATGGTTTCTTGCACATGTATCGACTGTAATAACACAATAATGAACTTAAGCTAGCAACGTTTTGGCTAGCACGAACGTCATGAGTTACGTTTGGGAACTAGATCTATGACGGCGGTTTTTATTTAAAGGTTTTCGTTAAGCTGACTCAAAATGTAAGCTAAACTTTCTTTTGCCTTCAATTGAGTGTGGAATTTTTGTTTTAATCATCTGTCAGCATAACACAATTTTAGGGAATAAAACAAAAAAATTTCGCTTACCTGTCACGTTTCTGTTAAAAAACAAGAGCGCCAAAACAACCAATTTGTCTTCTTTGACTTCGCCTCAGAGGCTACGTCATGAAAATCATTAACTTTCCTTCCGCTTGACGTTACAGATTTCAAAACATCTCTAATTTAAGCTCTCTGATATAAAGGAAGAGCAAAGTGAACTCACAAAAAAATAAGACTTAACTCGTACTATTATTACTTTCAAACGCAGGATTTAAATGTCGAAATGGATTCAACAGAAAAGTGGATTGACATATTGTCTTTTGATGGCGGAGGAAGTCGAGGTGTAATGGAACTGAAGATTCTCGACGACGTTTTACGTTTGGCAACGATTGTTTTGAAAACACCTGAGACTGTGAATTATCTTGTACAGGAAGAAAATGACGAAAGCGAAGTAAATTTCTTGGAAGATCGTGACGTTCGAGAAAGTTTGATCAATGATCTGAGAAAAGTTCAGGATCCCATTCATCCCACCGATGTTTACGACATGATAGTTGGAACCAGTACAGGAGGTCTGATCGCGTTTGGTTTGGTTGGCGGAAATAAAGTTGGCAACAACCATCATAAAAGAGAACGGATGACTGTGGAAGAATGCATTCAGATGTATCTCACAAAGACTAGAGAAATTTTTAGGAAGACCTGGTCCCACTGGTTTTATTCTTACATACCTTTGCTGTCCAAAATCCCACTTCTGGCATATTCACAAGGTAACGTAGAGAAAGCCCTGGAGGATCAGTTTGGTGATTGCAGCTTATGTGATCTAGGCGGAGTGGATCCTTTGAAGAACGTTGCTGGAGCTGTTGCAAGAAGACTTGGCAGAAACGGAGATCTCGTACTATTTGATACAGCAAGCGAAGACTATAAGAATTACAAGGCTTACAAAGTCTTGCTCGCCTCCTCAAATGCTCCAATATGCTTTGATACTCCAGTAGACATTGGCGACGATAAATTTGTAGATGGAGGCGTTGGTGGAAATTGTCCTTTGAAACAAGCAATTCCCAGAGCAAAAAAACTTTTTGGAAAAGATGGTAAACACGTAAAAATTGTTTCGGTTTTATCAATTGCACCTCCATTGCCTTTAGAATCAGCAATTGATTCTAATAGTGGTTTTGAAAGTTGGGTAAAGTATTTTGTCAACGAATCAACCGATGGAAACGCAGTGTACAACGACGTTGTGAAGCAACATAGATGGAACAAAATTTTGTTTCAAAGGTTGTCGCCACGTGGTAGGAGCTTACAATCGTTTGAACTTGACGATGTCGATGTCCAAAAGATGTTAGATGACATGGAAAACGAAAGGGCTGAGGATGACATGTTTCTTGTCGACGTTGTTGCCATTGCAATGGTTGTTGTCTTTACGTCTGTTGAAAAAGTGAAAAATGAGCAGAAAACCACGTTGACCATAGCAGCACAACTTGCTAAAGTTGCAGGACTTGCCTACCAAAGCAGGAAAGAATATGAATCAGCAATCGTTTCGTACAAAACAAGCAAACGTCTGCAAGAGAAAGTCGGCATTGATTTCACTTATTTCGAAGTCTCATATAATATCGCAAAATGCACAAAAGAACAGGGGAAATTTCAATGGGCAATGAACCTATTTAAATCCAACGTTAAAATCCTAGTTGGCCATCAAGGTGACAAGAAGATTTATGATATACTGGTTGATACTTTGATCGAGATAGCAGACTGTTACGTGGCAACTTTTCGATATGTAGATGCGGAAGAATACTTGAATGAATTTCTTCCGCATCTAGATATTTTCAATGAGGAGAAATTTGCACGTGTCTTTACCAAGGATGCATGGTGCAAACAGCAACGAGGTAAATTTGAGGAAGCTTTCAATTATTACAGGAAGGCAGCTACGTACACCCCAGACGACGTTAATCCTGAAAAGGCAAACATTCTGAATAACGTTGGATTATGTTTCGTAAGTCTTGGAATGAAAGAAGAAGGGCTTAAGTTTGTTCGCCAAGCCCAAGATGTGAGAGAGACGTTAAGTAACGACAAAAATGATCCTCTGTTGGCCGAATCGTTTTTCAACGTTGGGTTTTGCTTGTTGAAGAAAGGTGACTTCAGTGACGCTAAAACAAATCTGGAGGAAGCTAAAAGACGGTACGATCAACTTGGGGACGAGATAGGCATTTCCTTAGCACTGAGAAATTTGGCAGCATGCCTGTCCTTAATAGATCCATCAAAATACGACCTTGCTTTGGCTTACGCCCAACAGGCTCTGGAAAAGATAAAAAATTCTGTCCTTCATTACTACAATCCTGGAGTTGCTAGGAGCTTGTCAGCTCTTGGTCTCTGCCTTTTCAAGATGGGAAGATTTAAAGAAGCAAAGAAAAACCTGTTAGAAGCTGTGGATATCATCGAAAATTTGTTTTCAGAAGATCATCCATGGCTGATAGACATTTATCAGGTGCTCTACACATTGTATACAGAAGATGGCGAGCAGAAGAAGGCGGAGAAATACGAAACGAAAAAGATGAGGATAGTCAATGTGATAGAAAAAATGGCTAATTATGTGGATACGACTAAAGATGTAAGATGGAAGTCTCTTCCAGATTTTCCTTTCTGAAAACAATGGAAATGGTTTCGTAGTAAAGTTTATATAGCTTGGGTAATGATAGCTATAATAACATGAAGTACATCCGGGGAATAGAAAGAACATAGTTAACATTACAAATGCCTAGCTAAGCGACACCAATCAGTTTTTTACATAGCCCAAAAAGGTTCGTGTAAATAACTAATCAGGTAATGAATGTAGAAAGTCACAGAATAAACACTTGAAAAGCATTTAGCAACATTAATCTTTAGTGTTTTTTGAAAAGCAACTTGACAGAAAGATACAACGACGAAGCATTCGAACAGGACTTCTTAAACTATCATTAAAATCATTTAAACTCTCTCGAGTAACAATGTTTCGTAACTATATATTTATTTCATGGACATCTCTGGACTTTTGAAAAGATATGGATTTTCCACTTCAGGGGATTTGCGAAACAAATTCCCCAGTATCTAAATACCCGCCAATTTTACGTATAATCACATTCAATGTTTGAAAAGTATGGTTTCTTAGAAGTTCTTTTTTAAGGGGAGGAGTCACAATTTTTCAGATATTGCACACATGACATTGCCAAATGAGGTAAATATAGAAGAGCAAAGGGGCCAATTGCTTGGGACATAGATAGCGTTATCCCTTGCATAGAAGCAAATTTTTTTAAATGGTTAAAAAGCTTCTTAAAAAGGTAAAAATTAAGGTTTGATCTGAGCAATCATTGTAATAAAATATTGCTTCTAAGATGACAAAGTTTCTTGGTCGTATGCAACTTTTAACTAGTACGCTTGCTGTTATGTCGGCAGGATTTCGCCATTTTTGTCACTAATTTGTCGTAAGTACGGCAAATTCGCGTTCTTTTACAATTTTGCGATAAGATGACCTGTTTTTCAATAAAATCTTTCACATTGCCTGCACCTCTGGAATTAATTTATTGCAAGATTCCTTAATGTGATTACAGTTGATTTGCCCTTTCCAAGTTATATCACGAAGCTCGTTCAATGATTCATTACGTTTGTTGCTAAGTTCATAAGTATCATCCAATCAAATTGTATGTTTAAAATAATAGCCGGTTACGAAAGTCTATCTAAACATTTGAACTTTTACAATACAAACGAACTAAGTTGACTGCAGCTGGTTGTATGTTTCACATTATGTCACACGTTATCGCTCTCGGGCTTGTGAAAATGTTTTGTTCATGACTGTAGAGTTGCGTTTATTCGTAATGTTTTACGTGCGTGTTTGCGTGCACAGTGTTCAAGTACACTTTTCTATTAACTTTATAACTTATGAATGAATACAAGTTTTGGGTGGATCACTCATGCATTTTGCTTTTGCGCAGTTCGTGACAATCCGTCGACAATGATATGGCATCGCAATTGCAGATCATAACAAAGAACATCAAAGAGCGTCTGTCTAAGATCTTAAATTTACGGACTTTCGTGATAATATGCGTATTTAAAATGTGTATAAAGTCCGTCTGGTGACGCGAAGCGTTTTCAAAGTTTCAAGCAGGAAATGGTCTTCGATGTTTATTCCCTAAAATTTGAAAAATCCACCTGGAACATCTTTGATATGCGACTAATTGATACAGCTTGTGTATTCTCGCCAGCTCCTCATCAGACAGGGGCCAGTTTTTTTCTAGATACCGACACACGTCTATCTCTAACACACTTTCTGACAGCATATTGTCCCTAAATTCTTGGTGTGTTGTCAAGCAATACTCTCCTTGAGTTTCTGTTTGGCCTAGCAAAGGCCTCATACTCATCGTATTCAAGCGCTTTTTAGAGGTAACAAAAACACTCGATTGCCTTTTTCGACAAAGTGCAATGTCCACACTTAGAGTTTAAAGGCGCCAAGTATTTTCTCTCTCAACTTCAGCATCTATTTCATCCTCCGACGAGGCAAGTCGCCCCGCTCACTCTCCTTTTCGGAACCGCTTTCTTCACTTGTTTCAGCCTTCATTTCAGGTTCATATTGATAGGGCAGAACCTAACCCGGTTGATTTTCGTGTATGTCATCCATTACAGCAAAAAAACCCCGTAAAATATGCAATAAATGTGTTGTAACCCAGTCAATCACAAAGTATATTGTATTGTTGTTTTGACTGCTTACCGGCCAAGACGTCATTACCGCTCGAGATAATTTTATCAAAATTTTATCCAAGATGGAGAAATTTATAAAACTTTTGCTGCAAATATCTCAGCAATAAAATATTTTTGAAAAAAAATTTTGCTATTTTAGTTTTTAGACATTACAAAGGTTCAAAAATATGCCATAAAAATTTTCGTTGCCAATGTCCTTTAAGTTTTCAAATGGCGGTTGCCAAGTTACTTTCTAATATTGCCAATTACATTTCCAAATATGGAATGTTCGTTATTTCGTTATGAACTTGTCAACTTAAGTTCACAAGTTGTGTACTTGAGTACTGAAGTTGTGAACTAAGTTGCGAAGTACTAGCAAACGCGAAAGGTCTTTGTACCCTGTAGACATTTGGCAATGAATCCGTTCAGCAAGCAAGGAAATCAAGTCCTTTAGCAATTCTAATCGGTTTGACGGCCCTCAAAGAGTGCCACATGTAATAAATTTTCAGTAAATGTGGCACTAGAAGCGTATCGTTGGATTTCAAATGCAGGAGTACCGTGCATACTGTGCCCTCGACGTCAGTTGCCACTCGTAACAACTACAGACGACTCATCAAAGAAATGAATTCGGCTGCAATCAATCAATGAAATAATTGCTACGCAAGCTTCTAACTTCTCCATAACGCCCGGCCGTTCTGTCTCTCGAGTATTTTGACTTATTATCTTGTAAGTGTAACCAAGATCTTTATTCAAAATTCTACTAATGGATGACCTGCTAGGCATGTTTGCTGGAAGGCAAACTTTGTCATTTTCTAGTTGTTGCTGAATCTCTTTTGCGTAAATAGATGGTTTATTAATTTTTAGATATTCAGTGTATGCAATAATGTCATCTGTGCGCGTGGTTCGAACATCAAGGTTGTTCTGGCGAGGTGAATAGAACCAGTGTTTACCCATGGATCTATTATATCTGATATATTCTTATACGGTAGGTTTAGTTGTTTCGAAATGTTTGTCAAACGCTCGTTATTTAACCACATTTCAAGTATTTCATTTCTTACTTCTATTGGTAAAGGTTTTCCTTGCTTACTGAACGGATCATTGTCAACTGTCTACAGGGTACATGGACCTTTCGCGTTTGCTAGTACTTCGCAACTTTAGTTCACAACTTCAGTACTCAAGTACACAACTTGTGAACTTAAGTTGACAAGTTCATAACGAACATTCCATATTTGGAAATGTAATTGGCAACATTAGAAAGTAGCTTGGCAACCGCCATTTGAAAAGTTAACTGAAATCGACACTAAGGAACGATAAATAACTCTTTATAAACAAAAGAGATAGTTTCTACTAACACACTCGATATTCCTATGTGAAACAGACAAATGGATTTTGCAAATTAACAGTAATATGATGCGATAAGTCAAAGTTTATGCTACGATCATGGTTTTAGCAAGTATCTACTTTCATTCTTCAAGAATTGTTACTCTCACGTCAATGCTAAACCGACCATTAAAATTTGTATTTTAAAATCACCTTCTTATAGTCAAAGCATATAATATAGATAAAAATAACATTTGGCAGCTCTCAATTTTCACCAAAATTTTTCCATTTGTTTAAAGCTCGTTGACTGGTCCAGTGGAGAAGTGCAAAAAGATAAAACACCTCATGGAAATGGCTGAAGACTTGCTTCGAAGCTTAAGCTACAATTCAGTTTAAATAACTGCAGTGCAATTCCCAAATTTCCCATGATGAATGCATAATTTAGTTTTATTCTTGTCGTACTAATGTCGATGGAATGTTTGATGGAATCCATTATATGGAGAAACTTCATTTGTTATTTTAGTCAAAACGAGTGATTGCAGACCACCTCTATGTGTTGAGTAACTATAGTTTTGATAAAACTCCTAGCTAAAATGAAATCATGAGAAAATTTGAAAATTTAGATTCCCTGGACGGCTCGAAACGACCGACGGCTCGATTCATGCTGTTGCTTGTTTCAATAACATTTCTTTATTTTACTTTACGAAAGTATTTACAATAAAAAGTTATGCTTTGTTTATTTCCCAATCCTACTAGACCAAATGTCTTGAAATGCTTAGCTTTAACTTTTGTATTAGCGAGAGCGTACCAGCGACCGATAAGATTTCCGTTTTAAAACAACAGTAACAGGAAAATGACCCCTATAGTTTATGTAAATAACATGAGCATTAAGCAAGCTTAATAACTTAACTTCCTTGACTATCATAGCGTCGCCATAAAATCTTTCAAAACCATTTCGAAATCTATATGACAACTAAACTACAAATTTCCTCACAGAAAACATACAAATGTTTACAGAAGAGCAGGAGAAGCTCCATTCGTTATTATGTTTTTATCTGACAATCACCGAAACATGACCAAAACATTTAGCATCTTATCGCTCCAGAGTAGATAGTAGCGTATGCTCTATTGCTAATTTCATAAACTCGCAAAAGTTGTTGATCTAAAACTTGAATTTCATTTCGGAAATGTCCGCGCGCATCATTCGTGGCCGCAAGAAGATTGATAATTAAGGGTATAAATTTCAAAGGAAACTAATAAGGCATATCATGCATACATGAATATTAGCCATTCCCAGTGATTGATCTTCCTCTAGCCGTGAGATTCTCGCGTTTTTACATGACTTACGCACATTCCATGCAGCTAAAGACATTATATTGGTATTAATAAATAAACCATTGAAAATGAAAAAGCATGATGTTACTTTATCTTCATCAATCAATAAAAGTAAACTGAAGTTGCACAAAAGCAACGCCTGTGTTCAAGCACTCTTCAAATTTGTTAGCATTGGAAATGCAAACAAATACAATGTGGAATCTCTTTCGAACACAATTTCCATATGTGGTTGGAGTTTGAGTGTTACAAAAATGTAGCAACTTTTGTCGATTGGTCCAAATCCAAACTTTAAAAAGATAGCAATTTCTTATACATGCGTAGCATACGTAATAACATACGTAATGAATAACATAGTTTTCCTACATTTTCCCTATATTTTTCACGTCAATAACATGCGTAATTGCAAAAATACTACAGAAATCACTTCGTTTAAGGTAGTGGTTCGTCGTGTCAGAGTTATATGTTGCAATAATTGGTAAAGAATTAGTAAAATGCTGTGC